TTCAAGTATGGCAGTGGTATTTTCTTTTAAATTTTCATTTCCCATTTGCAAAATGCCTCATAATTACTAAGCTCCAGGATGACATGCCATGTTACTTTAAATCTAGGCATTGAACATCTGGGAAGCAGCATGTTTTTGAAAGAGAAAACAGAGCAAGCAGAATTGCTGCCAAGAGGGAAAAGACAGAGCTAAAGGAGCAGAAACAGAAGCACACAGGTGAGATCTTTTTAGTGAAAAGGATTCCTGAAGGATCTCTTCTGTTAAGATAGCTGATGTAGTAAAATGTATTTAACAGGTGATTTGTACCTTCTACTCTATAATGGCCAACATTGATATCTACCCATAAACTGGTGCTTCCTGTGCCTTGGACATGTAAAGATGGGAAGTCCTCTATGCTGTCCTTTGAAAATACAGCAGCTGTTCTGCTTTCATGAAGATTCACAGCAGTAACATGCAGCTCCTGAGTATGGTTTGTTTGGACCCATTCACTTCAACTTCACAACTTAAGAAACACGGTGAGTCCATTTCTCTTTGTACTAGATACTCTCAGAGAATAACAGAATTGTTAAGAGTTTCTTCTCACAAATGCTGTTTAGGGTGGAGGAAAGATAACACAATAGACATACTGGAGATTTTATTTTATATGTATAATATCCTGTTGAAATATTAATTATGAGTGTGGTGCAGATGCTGATTTGATTAACTTGATCATGTTCATTTGACACATTACATGTTGTACTCTGCAAGCTGTTGTACTCTTTCACTCTTGTTTAATTTATGGATATGCTCTCTCCTGCATACCAGCATCTGTATGCCTGATTTCTCAGGCTTTAGGTCACGAGCTTATTTCCTTCCTAATCAACTCAGTGTTATGTTTTCCTACAAGTGCTGTTTCCAAAGGCATCCTAGTAATGACATATTTACTTCTCATCTTTCCACATCACTTTCATGCTTCAAGAATTGATTGAGCTACCACAGGCTGGTAAAATGTTCCAAATAGAGCAGACAGAATGAAAGTGAAAATATTTTGAGATTTGTTCTGACACACAGGATAAATACTCAAGAAGTTATTTAGGATAAGAAGTATTGTCTATAAAATATTACAAACTAAATTTAAGCTGAATGTGGAGATGAAGTGAAGGAACATGTTATAAAAAACACATACCTTTCCAAACATCATTTTCTGGCCACTGACTGTGGGAAGGAGCTGTGCCTTTCCAAGTGCTCTGTGATCAGTTTCCCACAAAGGTTATCAAGCTCTGATGGTGCTGGTTAATAGGTTGGAAACCGTACAACAAAAATAGACTTGGCTAAAGTGAGGTATTTACTGACTTATGTGTCAGAAAGGGAAGAAATAATTTTTTTTGATGACCTAGAAAACTCAGTCCTTCACCCTCAAGATCAAACTGCACAAAACACAATGCACATGATGATTTATTTCTAAGTTAAATGGTGCTAGCTTTACTGATCCCTGAAGATTTAAGAATGTTAATGATTATTTCTACAATACCCAGTTTTTGGATGCTTTCATGACTTTGTGTGTCTGTGCCTTTCTTAAGAAATCCCAAGTATCATATTCCTCAGTTCCCCATCCTCTTAGTGTGCTTATTTAATAACACACAGTCACATAAGAGATACCATCTGCACATGAAGGCAGAGCTCCTTTGCTTTTCACTGTCTTCTGGAGACTTGAGCCAAGGAATAGTCAGTCTGCTATAATCCTGAATTTAGCAGAAGGTAATTCCTAAATCAGGCCCTAATGAAATATGAAAAATATCAAATCTCCTCTCTGTTTGGAATGAAAATACCATTTTTTGAAAATGCAGTTAGCTAGTTGCAAATTTTAGTTTCTTCTTACAACCACCACAGCTTACAGTGCACTGAAAAAGTAAAAAAAATAAATTAAATCACACATCTCTAAATCCTTCTAAAAAACAGGGGGAGGAGAGCAAAAGGAAACGTGATTGCATTTATTTACATACATCTTGTTCTTTCATATGCTTCATGTAGAAAAAAAACCATAGATACTTCTATTCTACAAATAGATTTATATTACAGTTTTAGCATATGGAAAGAAAAACCCCAACCTGATGCTTTTCTTTTTAATATATTGTTACTTCCTAAGAAACATTATTTTTGATAGAAAAGAGGAAAGTACTTTTTGTTTTAACAGAATGGAATTATTTAACAGTTTATGTCTAAAAAATGAAAATATATGGTTAGGCCTAAAACAATACACCTAAATTAAAAGGCTCCAAAACTAGACTTGATTATTAACTTATTAATACTCCTAAGAAAGAAAGGCATCCAAGTTCCACTTGAATGACCTCAGGTGAATTCAAATAATTTGACTTCACCAAGTGATTTAGCTTCAAAATTACTGAACTTGTATTTACTATTTCCTCATTTTGTGCTATTTATTGCAATATGAAGTATTAACTTCATCCAGATAAGTAGGATTGGGCAAAGTCTTAATGCATTTGCAGCTGTCTATAATTATGTCTTCTGAAGCAGCAGAGTGTTCTTTATATGATTGATCTAGTTCTTTAAAAGTGGCTTTATGGTTTAGCATGATTTAATTGACCTGATTTTCTGTATTTATTTTGCACATATACAAATAATAGCACTGCAGCAAAAATGTAACCTGAGAGATTTTAGAGTATTTAATCAGCAGTATTTTGCCTCAGAATAAAATCTGTTTTTCCTATGGAATAATGTAATAAAATGGGCCCAGTGTTGAAAGTCTGGTTAATCAAGAGATAGTCCAAGCAACATTTGGCAGTCTTTTCCTGAGTATAAAGTTACAAAAGATATTCATTTGTGCATAAGGTAACTGATGCAGTTCACTGGCATTTTGTTTAGGTGTTTTGTCTAAATTTTTCAGATTTCACTGTGGTTTCTATGGCTTCAACTTAGTTTACATATTGCTGTTTCTAATTTTGTCCTAACCTTCTTTATGGCTTCTTGGTGAAACCACTACAAAAATCCAAGGAAAATGCATCATCCCCTCCTTCATTCTTCCCTCCTCCTGCCCATGGAAATATACTATGTCTGAAAGAGATTGAATCTTAAGCAATCAGAGCACTGAAACCTTTCCATGGCCTTTTATTATATTGTGGTATCAGTATCTTCTTGTGTCAGTCACTACTTGATGATAGAAGTGTAGTCAAGATGGGCCTTCTGAAGGCATCCTAATACAAATCCTGTTGTTTTTCATGGGGAGTTTTTTATCTGGTGGTATAATATTTAACTACTAAAATACTCAGCAATCATTAATATTAATAAACACTGCTGTTAACTCTAAACTCTGAAGTCTTCAGCATTAGCTTGATGCACATCAAATGCTTAATAGGTACCTTTAAATATCTTCAGTATTATTTAAGGAAGAGTCTTCAATTCTGTCAAGAGAACAATGCTCTTTAGTTCCAAAATATTATTCTTTCTCACTCAATAAGGAACTCTTTGTTCCAATAAGATTAATAATAGAACCAATTCGCTCCTACGAGATTGATCATGTTTGCAATACTGAATCATTTGCTGCCTAGAAAGAAAAGGGTTTTTTACTACCTTAAAAAATTTCTAAGATCAACCAAAAAGGTCTCCACCTTAAAAGCATTTGAACATGCCACTTAGAAGCAGTCTATGGCTATTTTATATGGTCTTTAAAGTGCTCAATAACCCCATAAAGTTTTAACCTTTATTTTATTGGTTCCTGTTACTTTGTGTGTTATATGTTTAAAGCCGATGAAAAGATTTTTTTTCATGAATCACATGATATTTTATTTTACTGTTCACATAAAAAAAGCTTTATAATACCTTTTAGTACCTCAATTTTGTGTATGAATTATATAATTGTCAGCAGATATTATTCTGAACTGCAGTTTCTGGACCAGAAAGCCATGTTTAAATCACCCTGGGCATTAAAATGAAATGGGTAAATGACTTGACTGCATGGACTGGCAGGGTCATCCTGCAGCAGAACATTATGAAATCAAGTATTAATATGTCTTTAATTGTGAGGCGGGGCATATAAGTTATTTAAAGGGGATTTTTAATTTAATTTTTGTTTTTAAACTGCTAAGTGAACAAAAAGTGAGGAATTAAAATACTCTATCAGCAATCAAACCTTGCAAGGGCATTTCAGGTTTCATGTAGAAGAGGTAAAACTTGGTGAAAGCCTTTCTATCTACAATAATGAATGAAGTCACTCTATCCTAAATAAGATTACTAACCTTTTCAGTATCTTTTACTTCTATGAAGCATTTTTTAAGTTCCAAAAAAAAGTCTAGCTTCACCACAGTTCAAAGAAAGCAGAGACATTTCTCAGACAAAAATGTGATGCCAAATAAAAGTTGCAGTTTGGCCAGGCCTGTCATGTTAATGCCAATAAAAGCCAATGTGTAAAATGACAGCAAGTTTCTCATTGAAAGGGAATCAGTACTGCTCTACAAATAAGCAAATGCTGCAGAAAGTTTTGGAGTGTTTGTAAATTGTCCCATTTGGGAATTCTTCTCAGCATTAATACGAGACACTGAGATTCAGTCAGTTGGTCAGAGTATGGTGCTGATAATGCCAAGGGTGTGTTGGCTGATCCCTGCTCAGGCCATTAACTTAGGAGTTGGTGATCCATGTGGGTCCCTTCCAACTCAGACTATTCTGTAATTCTGTTAAATATCTTGGTTATTTCCTCTTCTAAAAAGCACAAGCCAAACACAACCGCACATTAATTTACCTGATAGCTTGGCAATTAGCACCAGTCACAAACCATTAAAATGAAACAGACCAATAAAATTAAGCAGCAAGGAAAGCTGTAGATAATAATAGATAACGACAACCACTATTACAAACCAATGCAAAGAGTTCACAGGACATCTGTGGGAGCTGTGGCCAGTGCTTCCCATTCCCAGCAGGGCACAGCAGAGGGGTGGTGTGAGGCTGGGGATGCCACTCTGGGCCCCTCCATTCCTTCCCTCGAGGTGCCACCCCGCCCAGGCACTCACCTTCCTGCCACCCAGTGCCTCAAAGTGGCTCCGCAGCTCCTCCACAGTGACAGGGACGTGCTCCAGCTGAGATCCACCTGGAGTCTCCTCCTTGAGCACATCTGCTCTCCTGCTGCCTGATGGCATCTTCTCCAGGGCCATCCTGTCTGGCACCAGGGACGGTGGCAGTGGCGAGTGCTGGAACATCAGGCCTGGTCTTGTAGCATGGGCAGACTCCCATCTCTGCTTGAGGAGCTCCACGGAGCCCTTCTGCAGGGGCAAGTCTGCCAGTTCCAGCATGTTCTGCCAATGAAATATGTACCTGGGGTCAGAGGCCAGCGCATGGTGCCAGCACAGGCCACCACAGACTGGCTCAGGAACCCCTGTGGGTCGCAGGACAGGTTGGGACGTGGACTGGTGGCTGGGACAGAAACCACTTCCCAATGGAAGATGTGAGATCCAGTAAGATCAGATCGAGTAGGAGTCAGTGAAAGGGTTCAGTGTGTTCATGCAAGAGGAATATGTGAATTATAGAGTGAATTAAAGGTGCTGTTCAGACATTTTATTCTTAAGCTTGACAGCAGAATTGCTGTCTATCATGAGTGGAAAAGGAGCAAGCGTGCAATTAGTGAGAATTCCAAACAAAGTGGGGTTAATGAATGAGTGCCTGGTAATCAGTGTGTGCTGCATGAAAGCTGTTGTGACAGGTGACTGCTGATTTCTTTAAGACCTGATACAGCTGTCTGTGTTGTGGGTTGAGTCATAGCATTTTAAATCAGCTGGGAGAGAAGGGCTACTGCATTAGCTGAGAGCTTGCTTGGGTAGCCTGGAAACACAACCCAGGGTAGTTCTCCTAATTGCACTGTAACTCTTGTCAGGTAAATTGCTAAGTGTTGATATCCAGCCTTTCTGATCAGTTGACTGTGCTCACAAAGAGTTATTCTGTCTTTCTTACAGTACACTTGGGAAGGAAAATTGCCATTCTGTTATTTTGCACCAGTTGATGAATTCTGCTCCCTTTTCCTGAAATCAGCTCCCAACAGGTTTGATTTTGTTTTCTGCCCTATAACAAATACTAAAATGTAAGTTTTCATGTCTCATTCTAAAGGAGATTTAAGTAAAAAGAATGTGAATTTAAAATAATAACAAGAAAGAAATGTTAGCAAGAACTGCATCCCAACTAGTAACTAAAATCTCAATTCATGAGTCCTTTTGTTTTGGAAAGGAATTCTTGTGTGAGTGTAGCTGTCCTTTAATATGCTTATGTTTGATAGAGTTTAATTTAATCTGCATTGTTGGGAGCTGGCCTTTGGGGGTTTTAAGTAATTTTTTAACCAGAATTAATGTGGTCTGTAATATTTTACTTAGGAGTTAAAAATACATGAGGAGTGCTGGGTATTTGATATATTCCAAGAATAATTTTAAAATGAGACTTCAAGGTCCATTTTTCTTGAATAATATGGGAAGTAGTTTCTTCACTCACAGTTTTCATCTTCTGTGTAATCAGAAGTTGGCTCAAGACTTGTTTCTCCTTTAGTTTTTTGTCTGAACTACATTGTGATTATGGTTAACATCCTGCTAGGTTTCCTTGACTGACACCAGCTGTCTCCCAAACCCTTCCTGCAAACAAAAGAGTGATCCTTCCTTCCCCTCCCATGTGCACTTCTTCCATCGAAGATCCTAAGTGGGTCTGGCTTCTGGCTCAAAATGAAGAACAGCTGTAAAATTCCCCAGTTGCAGGAATGTTCATCCTAACTCCCAGCTGTAGGTTAGAAATGCTCCTGATTTATGCTGCATCTAAGGATTCATTTTAGGCTGTGGAGAAGGGTTTTCCTAATTTGTTTGAGAGTGCTTATGCAATACCCACATTCTCCTATATTTTGCTTCGTTGCTGGTGGTCCTTTTATTGGTTTCAGTAATTTTCAGGGTATGTGTTATGCCATTTTTCAAATATAGCCTGGAGTGCATCTGCTTTTCCCTCACAGCTCTCAAATACTGTTAACAATTGTGGTAGCTTCTTTTACTCTTGTCTAGTGTGGTGCCCATGGCTGATAGACAGTGGATAAAATTAATATCTGCCTTGTTCATGTGCAAGCATTGGATGAAGGGAAATTGTGTAGAAATTCAGTAATTTATAAAATTGGATTCTCACCCCAAAAGAGATTTCATTGTAATATCTGCATTTGTGTCTGGAATAAATTTGAATGTAGGCCCGAACTTGACTTTCATCCACTTTCTAGAAATGGATTTTCATGAAAGTGTACCTCTGAAACTTAAGGAAGGAAGGAAGGGAGAACCAAAACAAAAAACCCAAACCAGGCTTGGGTCTGTTCTAGAGGTCATTTAAGGTTTTCACAATTTTTATTACTGGTGTCTCTGATCTTCTAATTTCTTTCCCTACTTGTTCATAGTAGTTTCAACCACTGTAGAATACTAACAGTAATTTATGTCAAGTAAAATATTTGAGGAATATTTGATATCAAGGACCGTCATTTACTTTCATTGTTACCTGAGATTTTTAGTGTCTTTCTGCAATGTAGTGCCTTTCTGAAAATGTAGGAAGAACATACTGGAAATGAGAAAAGCACAGATTTTGACTTTGACTTAAGTATTTATTATAATTTTGTACTGGTTCTGCTGGTCATAGTTTTTAACTTCTACTGTCCATCTATAAAATTCTGTTATTTAAGTGACAGGGAGAGCAGATACTGCTGCTTTTATCAAGTATCAGAGCCTTTTTCTTTTGTGTCTGCTATTTTTGGCTCTAGGCTGTCTATATTTGTCCTCTGGCCTATTTATTTCTTCCCCAAACATATCTTGAGTTACTATCTCATAGTGACAATAGACTTACTACATTATCTAATTAGCTGAAAAGGAGGAGATTTGGATCTGTGGGTCTGTGACTTTCCTTTTCCCAGGAGGTGCATGATAGGAGCCCACCCGTGAATGGGACTGGTGGCAAGGCAGAACTTGCAGTCTGTTACAGTCATATTTTCAGTCCTACCACACCTGCTCACAACAGGTAAGTAAGAGACCATAAAAATTAGCATCATAATTATTGTTCATATGATAGGATAAAAGTTTCAGTCGGATTAAAAGTTTGCAGGGAGCATTGTCCTCTCACTTTCCTCGGTTTGGAGACTCAAGTGTGCCTCTGTGGCAGAAAGTGGAAAAGTGAAGATAACAGTATGAAAAAATTAGTTAGTGAGCAGTCGTTCTGGCAGAAATGGATGATGGAATTTTTGTGAAAAAAGTACCTAAAATGTGTATAATCTTCACAAATAGGTCTTTGTGAATGCTATCTATAAACCCTTTGCATTTGTTTTATGAGGCCAGTGATGGTAGAGCATTCAAACACTGTAGTCCAATTATAGATTTTCTTTTTTTGTGTTTCTTCTCTGGGGTCTTTTATATCTCTCTGCTATTAATTTGAGGTCTACAGTAATTCTTCATTTCATGTTCGAATTCTGATAAGTTGAACAAACAGCAATTGGAAGGATTTTGTGGACTCATGAATTATTGTGATCTGGTAAATATCAGGAATTTTTTAAAATCAAAAGCTGATAAATCTGTTTTCACAGTAGGATATTGAAATGTTATTGTTTTTCTTGCACTGTCAATGAGACATGCCCTCCTCTACTGTTCACAGACTGTGTATTCTATCAGTAGATGAACATATGCATTCAAGGAAAGCTATTGAGGAAAATTAGATAAGTGCTGCTGTGTGTTCCCCTGGCAAAATGGCTACCTGCATTTTCATCATATTCTTGCTATCTTAAATGTTTCTTACATGTCAACTCTTTCATTTGTTCACTAGTGAAGGAGAAATTGATACAATTTACTTGTAGAACTATTTGTGAATAGTATTGCTTGTATCCCCATGGGATGATACCATTTTGTACTGGTAAGTCCTCTACTAACTTGAGAAAACAGCCTGTTGTCAAATAACTGGCAATTGCCACTGCATATGACAAAAAACCCTAACTAAACAAACCACAACTCAAAAAACATTCACACCAAAACCCCAAAAATCTTTAGAGGACAGGATGTGACTAATCCTTTTCATGATCTGCCATACTTAATCTAGCTCTTACATCTTAGATGTCCCTTTTGGTTTCACCCTGATTCCAATTAATCTGCTTTTCAGGAATCCCTGGCATGAGGCTCCATAGGACATCTTGGGCTAAATTATGAAAAAACAGCACATTGCAAATGAGGACTGTATAGCATTCAACCCAAAGTTTTTCCCAAACCACTGAAGAACAAGCCCCAGGATGCAGAGGAATCTATAGAACAACAAGCAGCTGACCCCTTACTTTGTGACAATTCTGGGAAGGGGTGCAAGAGTGAGGGGATCAGTATCTGCCCAAGTTCTCCACTAAATCTAGTCAAGAATAGAATAAAATTATTCAGTTGGAAGGGATTAACAGCAGTCCTGTATTCCAACTGCAATAATCACTGACCACATTACTAAATAACGTATCTTCTGCTTATGACTCTTTACATACAATAGCTGGGCACATTTCTGATGCTGTTGCTTGAAAAGCTTGCAGTTTCTTCTGCAGGTAAGCAGAGCCTCCAGTATCTGTAACATTTCTTAATTTACATTTCAGATACTTCTTAACACAAGCAACTCAGACAAGTTTATGAAGAGCTAAAACAGTTCATTACTATAAAGTGTAAAGCACTTCCAAATTCCTAGTCATATTTTGAGAAAATACATTATTTGGGGCTATCATTTAACATGTCAACCTTTATCCTGATACAAATATGCATAGGTAAATAATAAAACTTTAAATGTTGTTTCAGCTTTGAATTATGACAGACACTGTTCTAGTTAGTGTAACACTGTTCCAGTATTTTAAGGCAAATCATGCTGAAACAATTTCTCATACCTTACCAGCAAAATCGACATCAACATTTTATCATCTAATGAGAGAGGATCAAAAAGTGCATAATTCATATTCATGGGATTGAGGAAAGACATGCTTATTATTTTTCCTTTTATCCCATCATTCTCATCTATTACATGAGCAGTATCAGGCCCCCCACTAGACAGCCTATTTACAAAAATAAAACAAAAAACCAAATAAACAACAACAAAAAAAAGCACAAATTGCATATTTGCAGTGAAATTCTTACCACTGTGTTCTTTTCAGCCAAATTTTCCAGTTGGGGCTGTGCTGCACTCATTTTGAGCGTATTTAAAGAAAGGCAATTTTGAACATTCTTTAATTCATTGGTCTCATTTGACTAACGAACATGAGGCTTGATGGGCACACGTCTGATAGTAGTTCCGA